TTTGTTTGATCGTAATAGCAATAAAGTAATTTGTTTAACCTTGTATATTATGTGTAAGTTCTTCGTGAAATGCCGCGATTTAAATTGCATCACTCTTATGCCAACATGACATGAAGATTACGACTTTATTCAGATTAAAACTGTTTATGATATCCTGTAACGATTTCTAGCCGGCCGATAGTTTTCGTATATGATAATAAATAAGGTCCCGATTGTTCCGTGTAGCTGGCGAACGTAACTTCAACTATACGCAACTAATATCAAGTATAGTTATAATAGTATAAACGTAGAGATTTGATATTTTGAATGCGATGGAATTTGCAAACGAGTGACGACTTATTCTTTTTTTTTTCAGACAAAAACCAACAATAAAAATATGCTATCATGATTAAAACTAATCTTAGTTCTTTTGTCATTGCAAAAATATATCGTAATATTATCCTCCACAATAATCAAATCAAATAGATTTAGATTAAAAATTATATGATAAATTGATAAAATTTAAGTAAACTCTATGTAGTATATAATTATATTATAATATAATTTACTTATTGTATTCCGTTTTTTTCCTATGCAACAATCTCCGTATAATATCAATTTGTTTTTGAAAAAAATAGTTAGTATTATTGAATTATTTAGTCATCAAGTTATGATATATATTCCACTTTCTGTATATTTTTTATGGGGGGAGGGGGTAGATTCACTTAACCTAATTAACGGGTTCATAGTGATTCATTAAGCATTCAATTTTAATAAGCCTTAATTTTTCATTATTTGATATTATTATGATATTATGTACTTACTGTGGCCTACGAAGAACAAAATATAATAATAATAATAATAATAATAATAATAATAATAATAATAATAACAATAATAATAATAATAATAATAATAATATTAGAAATATTTGTCTGTATATCATATACTCATATACAGATAGAATTTTTCTGTTTAACACAATAATGATCGCGTACACCTGTATTAAAATATATATTTTATGTGAGTTTCCAAGTATACTTCCCCAATTTTTTCCTTAAATGACGAATTTGATCAAATTCTAATTTTATAAATTTTTGCTTGGCGAATCAGCCTGTATTCTATACTGCCTGTAGTTATTACGAAACTTCATTTTTCAATTTACGATCGTTATATTTATATTATTATTATTATTATTATTATTATTATTATATATATATATATATATATATATATATATATATACACACACATTTATTTAATATTGGAAAGCTATGGTTCACTAGATATAATACGGTGCTCTTTACGGCTCTCCATAATACATGTATAGAATCTTTAACATGATTTTGAATTAAATATACTATTGTACGTTTCAATCAATTTTGAAATTCTTAGTACCTATTCAGGTTTGAGTGTTATTACTATTAAATTGCACATTTTCGAGAACATTTTTAATTTTTAAGATAATCACATTTCATAACAAAGTTTTTCAAAGAATTCATGAGTAAATTAAAAATAATTAATAATAATTGAATAAATCCAAGTCTATATTATACTATGAGGCCTCTATACAGAATGGTTCATATTAAGCATACTTATTCTCAATTTATTTCTTTAATGATGAATTTATTAAACTTCTGTTTTGGAAGTTTTAAATGTATTTAAAGACCATATTTTAAAATACTTGAGATATTTTGTTTTATTGTAGGAAAACTTCAGGTTGTCAATTGAGAACCATCTTTTGTAAATTATTTAGTAGATATTTATTTTTTATGAAAATATTAATATACTCGTATCTATTTAAAATTTAAATTACTGATTTCTTGATTATTTAAAAGGTTATGCTAAGGATAATAATAATTAAAAATGGTTTTCAAAAATATAAAATATTTCTAAAATTAAATTTAGTATATATTATTTATTATGCTTGAGATATTTTTACGAATTATTAATATTGATAAATTAATACTAACTTTGTTGTAAATTTTTAAATCCCTAAAGTCCCCATATTATCTTCCAAATCAATTATTATAGTTTTATTATTGTGTATAAGTATATATTACTTCAAACACTACCCGTTATAAATTTAGTTTTGATACACGTCAATATGTTTAAAAAAATTATCCGCTTAATAAATTATAGTAAAAAAAGGTTTTCATTTGAAAAATAGAAGATTGTATCTCTATAGAATATTCCTTATAAAATATAAGTATATCTTAATTTTAAAATATGTCTTTAAGTATATTTAAGAATTCCAAGTTCAGAAATAATAACTGCATTAAACTACTCAAAAAAGAAGTTGGTTCGCGCGACGGTGAATAACTCAGTATATATTATTAATAATATATAGTCAACAAATATTTCATGTTTTTAATTACTCAGCTTTATTTAATAAAAGCTAATTTATAAAACTGAAATTCAATTCTACATAATATAATTAACACATATCTTGCATCAATATAGTTTAAAAAAAGCAAAACAAATTTGCTATACATTAAAACATGATTATTAATTTTCATTAGTTATTTCCGTGTTCGTAGGTAATAAAAAAATAAACAGAACGAAGGACAGACGTGTGTTGAAGAAGTAATTTCTCGGAAACGTAGGTTGATGATGATTAGGAAAAAAAGAGGAAAAATAGAATTTCGTCGGCTGTCTGTGAAAAGTGCGTTTGATTGTTGTAAACGGTTTACTTTTATTCTGTGATTTTCAAAACGCCGCAGCGGCAAAAAGTGTAATATTGATTTTGTGCCACTCTGCAAGTACACCGTGCTGGTAGACGGTAGTTTTCAGTCACGGCCATCACTCGTCGTCGACCGAGAATAATGTAAGTGGGGTGGGGTGTGGACGGATGGTTGAGCGTTGGACCTATTACTTTAGAAAAAAATGAAACAAAAAAAAAAAAAAAAACAGAACGCACCACGCGAGAAAGTGAATGAGGGAAGATAAAATTTGAATTTTGACGCTAGGAAAAGCAGTAAATAAATTTATGAGGGAGGATTTATATTCCTTTTCCCCTGCAGTAGTTCGATATCGAAATAACATAATTCCGGTTCATTTTCGAAAATAATATACGCGCTTGTATAAGAAATGCAAAAAAAAATATACAATATTATGTATAAATATAGCATCTTGATTTACAATATTAATATTATTATATTATTATATTATATATACTAGGGCTTTAAGTTTTTTTTTTTTTTTAAGTTTTTTCGTCTGACCCAGATGCCAATATTATTAATTGAAAAGAACGATTGTGAGTTATCGTATTGTCGCATGTGTGTCATGTACACCAAAATACATAAAGGTACACAAATATTATAGGCCAAGTGATTTTTTTTTTTTTTTTTAGTATTAATAAATATGACTAGGACTCATTGAGTTTAAAACTCACGTGGAGGCTCAGTAGTTATCTTGTTTATTATATGTTCTTATAGAATTAAAAAAAAAAATTCAAATCCAAAAGTGTAGATTAGAACAGCAAAAAAATTTAGAATGAAATAAGATAAAACAAAACAACCAATTAGTATAAAAATGGAAGTTTACAAAGTAGGTATTTAATAATGATATTTCGGTTTTGATGCATCATATTCATGAAGGAGCCAATGGGTAATGTATTTTTTAAACAACGATAGGTATATATCTTTTAAAATTAAACACTTACTTTCTTAAAAAGCATTAAAGTTTTTGAATTGCAATATACATTTTTTTTTAAATTTTATATTCCTAAGCAAATTTATTTTTTGAGAACTCTGATGTATAATAATTTAATTCAAACGAGTAGTCAATTTAGTTAATTGATTATAACTTATAAGTATTTAATTTTTCATTAGTGGTATGGTGTAGCATAGGGATATTTCCAATATGTTGGCTCATTTCTATAAGATCATTTGTAAAACTAAATATTTATAACTAATTAACTACTTATTTGAAATTCATAAAATTCAATTTATTTATAAAATTATAAGTATTATAAAAAAAAAAAAAATCCAAAAACATTAATATACTTTTTAATAAATTGAGTTATTTAATTTTAAAGAATGTCCTTATATAATACAGATACGCGTTCTTACACTTATTATGTTATTAATATTGTACAATGTACATATTATTTTGTTATAGACACGCCTTGTTATGATTTTCAGACACGAAACTTTTTTTATTCACCATTGTGAGTTTCCGAGCTCACAACTTTCATGGTAGAAAAATATTAAAACAAACTATTGTACGACACGCCAGTGTGTAGGTTTTAATGTTTTCAATTATTCGCGAATGTGACGCGTGCGTAACGTGTATTATATGCATACATAATACTATAATAGGTGCGTGAGGTTTAATCAGTATTAAACCGAAAGCGAAAACGCATAAGACGATTTTCCATAAAATTGTGTATGCCGCGAGTTTGCAATAATGTATAACACAGTACATACGTATATGTATGTATATATATCTGAGATATATAACATCGAATCAAACAATTTCACGTAGACCGTCTGTGAAAAAATAAATGATTCGTATGTCATTAATGTATAGGGTTATTCAAAATTAATCACTCAATGCTTTGAATCTGGCTTCTTAGGCCACATAATATTATGTTATATCATGATTATTTCTATTGAGGATACGTTAAAGATATCGTGGAAGTTCCGTCATCAACATAAACTATATACGAGCTAAACAATTAGCGAAGTTAATTAAAACAGATATGCATAACGAAATTAATTTTAGTTCTGACTAAATATTATTCATGTAACCTTAATAAATAATTAAAATAATTCTTATTACATCCTACATAAAACATTAATAGGTATCAATAAATACATTTGAGATATTATTCTTTTATGTAAAGTATTATATACTACTCTAAACTTAAAAACTAAAAAATACATAAGCAATCGGATAAATCTTTTTAAATTACACTACATGTATACTTATATATATATATATCATGTATGTGAATAGATGTATGTATTCGTATGCAAAAACAGTATAAAAAATTTAATTCGATATGTTTCACTCACCGTAAACCGCCTACACCAGACTGATAGCCATTTGATGTCTTTGATGCGTTTTCCGCCCGGCAATCGCAATATGATGTTTGAATTGTTGTGCGTTTGTAGCGGGGGTGGTTCCCTGTGAAACAAGAACAACAATCTGGTATATTATACGTTATTATATTATGGAAATAGTTATAAATATATTTGATTCAATTTTTTAGGTACTAAAATTTCGTGTTCCAAAAAATATTGACAAGATTATGATTACAGTAGGTAACCCAGAAGTAAAAGTTAATTTTAATTTTTTTCTTTCATTGATCTTTTTAATCCTGGTAACTAAAGCCATTAACTGTAGAAAGATATAGTAGGTTTTTTGTGTAAGGTTTGTTTGTAAGGTTAGAATACGTTTTGTGTATGTGTGTATAATTTGGATTCGTCACTAAGAAATCTAGTGGTCACCTATCAGAGAACTAGCGATGTCGGCTGATACACATTAGTGATTAAGGCCAATCGCCGCGTCACACCAGGCCACACAGTTCATATAATTAATCACGTAACCAATAACTATTCAATAGCTACCCGTCATAGTATTTATCTATTATAGACTATCATATTAAGCCCCAAAGAAAAATGTTATTATATAATTTTAATGAGAGCTTTTATACTTATCGATAGAAAAATCAAAAAAGATAATATAAATTAAAAATTAAAAAAACCAAAATAAACCTAAAGAAATAATCAAAAAGTGAATAAAAAATTATTTTATTGGTAGTCTAATAAATTAAAATAATAATTATTATTTCATTACTGTTATTAGTTAAAAATGTCTTATAAGTATTAAATTATAATTCACGAGGATCAGTGCTTGGACCAACGTTATTTAATATATTATATTGATATGATATACCAACGCCACAACACTGTCAACTAGCAATGTTCGCAGACGGCACAGCTATAATTACACAAAACCAAGCTCTCAAATATTCAATAAGAGACTTACAAAACTCCCTAGACGAATAACCCCTATGGTTCTCAAAATGGAAACCTAACCAAAAGCGAAACAAAAATATTTACCCTAAAAAAATACATAAACCCGACTTTAATAAAAATTAACAACCAGGAAATCCATTAAAATAACAAGGGCTACTCAGTGAAATATCTGGGACTACACCTGGACGAAAAATTAAGCTGGAAAATGCATATTAACAAAAAATTAAATCAAGGGTACACTAGGCTGAGAATACTGTACTAAACCACAGCTCAACCATACAAATGAAATGCTCTTTACTACTATACACTGCAATAATAAGACCACTAATAACATACACAGCCTGGTATGGGCAAAAGCTTCACAAACAAAAATTACAAAATTACAAACCCTTCAAAATAAATGTTTAAGAATACCACTAAAAACCCCGTGGTTCATGAGAAATAAACAATTACACAACGATACAGGCCTTCCCTACCTATCAGAATGAATAACACAACAGTTCAAAAACTTCCACGAAAAACTCCACAAAGCTGTCGGTGCTCTCCATTACAAAATTGGCAGAAGATTCGTCAACCTAAGACTAAAACCACAGCTTTCACAGGACACCTTACTTGAACCCAAATAAGACATCTCAAATTCCAACTCGGACTTAGACATCTAGACATATAAACTAAACAAAGTTAAAAATTGTATTTTTACTTTTTGTAAATATCAATGTAAATTAATTGTAAGCATAATAACCAAAATGTAAATAGTACTTAAATGACATCGTAAGAATACTAAGTGTATTGACATAATACAAATTAATAAATGAAAAAAAATTATAATTAATGACTGATTTATTGTTAATTATTAATATATTATAATATTAAATCAAGTAAATTAAATACTGTAAAAACGTAATAATTTCAAACTCTGTGTATATTAATATGTATGTATGTATAGAAATTAATATCAATTTATACATAATACGTGTAAACTGTATAAATATTTAACCAAGTTTACAATATATAGAACATTTTGTAAGGAATATAGCAGCATTTATTAAATTAGTTGCGAAAGAATAATATTGTTTGCGTTACCGATTCAAGCACTATAAAATACAATATTATATTGTATTATTTGTCCATACACATCATATAGATAAAATTAACGTATATAAAAACAAAAGGTTGTATTCTAGGAAATACAACTTTTTTTATTTTTAACTTTAAATTTATTTCTAGTTGAATAATTTTGCGATTTTGTTTTTAAAAATGCACGATGGTTGAAAAATAATCGCTCTCATCTTAACTTTTATATTCACACAATTACACGACAATGAATTTGCATCGTACACAAGGTTACATTGTGAAACATATTATTATAATATGTTATTCACAATGATTTATTTTATTTCTTAACCTATTATAATACATCGTCACCGTGCAGTATTCATGATAACAGATATTAGTACTTGTAAGTTGTAATATATTTTGTATGGTGATATAAAATATTTTTCTTAAGTGGGCAGTAAAGGAGATGATTTGAAATATATTTTAGTTTTACATTTTTAAAATAAATTGTCACACTTATCAGATACTAGGAAAATGGAACCTTTACAATATTGTAGCAGAATTGTCTGTTTATGCCGCCGTAGTGTTATAATTTTAATGGTGAAATGCATTCAAATTTCATATGAACATCATATGATTTGAAAACAAGATAACAATAAACAAATTAAAGTCTAAATATATTAATGAAATAGTCTGAAATTAATTTAATATTAATTAATAAACCATATTTTGATGTTTATACTTATAAGTAAAAAATTGTCAAAAATATTTGATTTTCAAGTTCTTATCATGTAGATTAATATAAATCATTGAACTAAATTTGTAAAATAATTTCATCAATTTTATAATTACTTGGAAATGAGAATACTATAAGCTGTTTAATTAAAATTAGAATTAATTATTAGATTTAATCAAATTATTATTATTTCATGATATTATATAACTATTTAAATCTTATTCTTTAGAAACTCTCACCTAGGTTTCAATAAAATATTAATATATCTTAACCTGTTTTTGTTAATATACTACTAAATATATAAATATTATTACTATCATGACACTTTAAAATACTTAGGATACAGTTTGTATTGGTTTGATTGAATCTAAATTTTAATTTTCAATAAATAATTCGAACTGAATAATTATTACAGATATAATATTATCTAACATAGAAAAATATCGATATTCGGATGACAAATTTTCAATATGATGCCTTTAATTTTTCTTATTTTTTTTTTTTTTTTCAGTGAAATGTCTACCAACCTAAATTAATTTTATATTTTATTTTTATTAACAAAATAAACGTAAGTAGAGTGATTTTTGCACTGCAAAAACACTTACCTATGTAAAATAGTTGGAATATACTACAAACGTAAGACACGTTCAAGAAATCGCTCTACATACATTATGCACGTAAGTACCACTTAATCGGGTTACCGAATAAAATTATAATAATACGCATTTTCGTATTGGGTTTACAGAATTCACCACGGTGCAGACTTAATATATCTACGTATATATTATATAAATCCACGTTCAACAAATAGATCGATGTTTAATATTTATATGTAGTGAGTGAGTACACGTTAACGGCATTTGTATTTAAACTATAACAAGTAGGTGTATAATGGGCAAGAGCATACGAAAAGTGTAAAGTACTGGCTGAAGGTATCAAGGGATTGAGTGTCTAAAATATAAAATCATTAAAATTTCCAACTACTGTCCCGTCATTAATTATTATACCAAACCCTATTACATTGTATTGTTTTACCCATTTGATATGTATAGATTAAGTTAGGGTACGGTAAAGGTATAACTACGGTTAAAATAAATAAACATTATTAGAATGTAAGGCCGAGTTGAGAAAACTATTATAATGACTAAATTTTGAATTAAGTCCTCGGTTCAATAAATATTAGTAGGCTAAAAACAGTTATGTATATCAACATAGAAAACTAGGTTACACTATGATATACAAGAAATTAGAAAACATGGAAAGTGGTTTTTCAGAGATAATCGCTTGATATGTTTATTGTATAGAACACCATGGTTTCAATGAAGTAAGTATTAATATTTTAATTGTCTGCGTTTCGATTTATTAGTAAAATATTACGATTGAAGTAATTAGAGTATTCCACAATATTGTTGCGGTGATGGAAACGGTGGTATGCACATTTTATTTATAACGGAGGAACGTTATTTCAAGTTAAGCAAATAAAATAATGTACGTATCAAATTAATAAAATATAATTCATTATTCTTTTATTTATTTAATAATTTAAGTTAATTAGATTTTAATCTTTATCATAATTTATTTAATGTTCTGATGCAATTTTTTTTTTTTTAACTTTAATTATACATTTAGTATAGAAAGCACATAATTTAATAATAATTGATTATTTTGGATTAAACATTTTATATTTATGTAATATTTTTTATTATTTTACATTTTTTATAAAATCTTAAATATTGATTGATTTCAAAAAAAAAAACCTAGTTTTTGTTAAAGGCACTTTGTTTTATGCAGCGTTATTTACCCTATTATATTTTAAAAACAAAATATATTTTAAATTATTCAAGAGAAATCATATCTTAAATTGAACCATTTTAAAAGCTTATAAAAATTAGTTTAAAATTAAAATCTAGTTATTCATAATGGAATCATTACAATATTATACAATACTTCGTAACTGTAGTATTGTTTAAATTTAAAATCTTTTTTCTAAACATTAAACAGTATAATAGGTACTTACACTGCCGGATAGTCCTCAGGATATGGAATAGTAAATCCATCCGGAGAAATTCTTGGCGATTTCCCGGCCCAAAAATAGGCAGCTGCAATATAAATAAAATAGATATATTAAAAATTACGTAAAAAAAGCTTTTTTTTTATACAAATACTGATATTATTAGGTAAATTGAATATTGTTATACTTTAACGTTACTTTTTGGCATAATGAATTAATTATAATAATTATACTGATATACATATTATGGCATATGATTAAATTATGATTAATATTACATAATTGCATACATAACACAAACCATTACAAATATTGCATTACTTCAAACTGTTAAAATAATGTTAACATGATATATTATTATGAAAATTATTGAGAAACTAACTAACTAGTATCTTGCAGTAATTATTTTTTTTGTTTTTTTCTTTTATAATTTACATTTTTTAAGCACTTAGTTATTACTAAATAAAGTTAAAAATTAATCAAAATTTGAAGTTTTTTTAATAACCAATAGACCTAACATTAAAATTTGAAAAAAAGTATTATTTTATGGTCTTTAAATATATCAAATATTTTCTTTTTATATTTTGTAGAATATTAAAATATAGTCAGTGAAATTTTACAAGAGTAAGTTTTTCATTCGCCTTTGTTTAAATTATGCAATTTATACTTTTAATCATTTTCAAAATTATATAATTATACAATTGCTCTAATTTTACAAAAAAAATATGTATTAAGTTAAATTACATTTTTAACATACATTACATAAAATTTTGTTTTGGCCTAAGAGGGAAAAGTACGATTTTGGTCGAAAAAGAAAGGGTACATTTTTAGCTAAAAACAGCCTCACCCGTTTATATACGCCAATAAGTCAACAAGTGATGATAATAGCGCATTGTCGGGAAAAATAATGAATGAATGCTCACATAATAAAGGGGTGAACATTTCCATTCACGCAAATAGTTCAATCCATATATTCACCGTTGTACATAATAAACATTATTAGTATATGAATATATCTTATGTGTACAATATTAGTTATGACCACAGCAACGAATTATACAGAGTGATTTAAAAGTTTCATCTGACTAAGAATTGGTAAAGTAATTGTACACATCGATTGCAATAAATACTAAACAACATGTATATAACTGTAAGGTTAAGATAATTGAATTTTTTTTTTTTATTATTTTGTGTCTTACATAATTGTGCGCATTTATTCTAATGATTAACATAATACCGTAAGCTACTATCGAGATGATAGACAAACAAATAAAAGTACTGTGTTTATTTTGAGTACCTTATAAATGCATAATGAATTGTGGCCATATAGAACATAAGAAACACACTGTATTGAACCTTAAATATCTTAAGAATATTTATTTTTACACCCTCACCTTTGCTGTACTATTAGTTATAAAATAAATATGAATTTTTGAAATGAAGAAAGACTTAGTAATTATTAGGGTTTAAATTTGAAGGCAAAAACTTTTTTTTAAATAATAATAATAATAAAAAAATAATTTTTAAATAAAAATGTGTCATTTATTATGTAAGATGATGGATATATTTTTTTTCTTTTTTACTTATAAATGTATTTTTGATATATAAATGCTTTTTTTGTGTTTAATTTTCAATGGATTTCATAGTTTTATACACAATATGCGTCTTTATGGTACAAATCCATAAGATCTTCTGAAGACGGTGCATTGTCATCGCTAAATACTTTATCGAGTACTTGGTATTGCCAGTTAATTTAACGTTTATAAAAGTACCTGTATACTACGTATCTATAGATTGAAATAATATGTTCATATATTCATAATGCGTAGATGCTATATTCAAAATTTTTCGTCAATCCACAATTTTCTTTTTAATACATAACTAGTATTTAGTTTTTTAATAAATTTTGTAATTGCTTTTTTAATAAATAAAATGCTTTTTTTGCCTTTTTTGAAATTTTAAGTGTTTTTCAATTATTATATTGCCTTTAAATCTAAATCCTAGTAATAATCTTCTATTTTACGAACATATTGTTAATTCTAGATTTGTCACGAATAAAATAATATGGCAGCGAGTGGACAGCAATAATATTATTTATGAAATATAACTGCTTGATAAGTATCGAAAACAACTGAACATGTTTAGTGTATGGCAGACTTGATGACATGCATGTTTTAAAATACACACTAGCTTCACGATCAGACTATATTATACCAATTCGATTAAAAACCAGTTATTATAATATTCAATTACAATATGAACATAATAATATAATATAATATGAAGTGGTTTGATAATCAAATTTCAAAATACAATAAAATTATTAATCCCTATAAGTATAAACACGTAATGTGCTTATTATTATAATATTAATCTAAGGTGACCATACGTCCCGTTTCAAACGGGATTGTCACTTTTTTGATCATCATGTCCCATTGTTTCGACAAACTCCGAACGGGACGCTTTTTATCCCGTTTTTAAAAGATGATATAGTTTTAATCCAGTTATTTTCACATTATTAAATAATTTTAGTAAAACCATATCAATGTATTAAAAAAAAAATTTTAAAAAGAGTAACATATTATAATTATTATTTATTAATTGTTATTTTATTATTTTAATAAATTATAACTTAAATGGAATTGAAAAAATAAAAAACTATTACATTGATAAAAATAACAGTCTTGTTTTTTATTTTTATAAAAATCACCTTTTATTAATTGTATATGTATACCATAGACCCGAAACCTCGGTGTAACACACGTGTCACATACTCTATGTAATAATATTATTATTATACTTGTATTATTTTTTGTTAATATTTGTTATTTATAAATACGTATCAACAGCTAGGTTATTAGAGTTTTATAAATCTAAAATATTACAATTTAAGTTTTTAGAATTTAGATTAATATAAGTGTAATAGCTATATGAAATAAGTGATATAGGTACATTAAATAATGATACTTTAAATAACTAATATAATTTTGATAGACGTAACATTTTTTTTAAAAATTAATAGTTTTTAGAATAAGTGCAAGACATTCGCAGAGATTGTATATTATTGTATACTATAACTTATAGTGGGTATTGAGGTCCATATCAGAATTTTTGATAGTTGTGACATTCAATGAAAACATACTTAATTGTACTAGTATGACACATATGAATCATGGAGATTTTGATCTTAACTATATCAGATGTTTGTGTGTTAGGTTGGCGTGGTGTCTAATTTTATATCTGTTTATTATTATTGGTTGTCTACGTGGGAGTAATTTGTCGTGTTCCCTATTTTCGTAGGAAAAGTGGTGAATTTTATTTCTCTATGTTTATTGTTATCGAGTAGACTCTAATCTTTGTGGTATAATTTATGTGATTTTAGGTTTATAAGGTATTAAGGTATTTTGTGTTTAGATATTTTATGATATTCCAAAGCAACGAAAGTTCTTTGGTTACCTTTTTAGCTATTTCATCAGCTATGCGACTAATATCATTGTGTCCAGATACCTTGACAAATCTAATAGCTTTTTTAGTTTTAAACAGTAAATTTCATATTTGTGTGTATACGGGGTTGTTTATTTTGTAGGATTATTTCAGTTTTTGAATGCACTGAAGGAATCCGTGTAAATGATTGTTTCTCTGCGGAGGTAGCAGATTCTATGGCTTTTAATCGTTTTAAATATTCTACTGCATATTATATTGAGTTGTGTATTGGGATGCGATAAGATTTTTGGTTATTACGTTAGATTATCTATATTACAATTTCTTTAGTGTTTTTTTGAAGCATATGCATATATTTTCCATTATGGTAGAAAGTTATTTTTTAAGTTATGGAAATTTGTTTTAAACAAATTAGTATGGTTTCACTATTTTTGTAATATGATAAGACGAAATATAAAATATAAATTTTCTTAAAGGTATCTCATGGTGGTTGTTTGGATTCTAGGAAGTCAATTAAATTTACAAAATCAATATTGAGGTCTGAGTTATAGGTAACTACTCGAATGCTCAGATTGTTAAGGTTATTAATTTGACCTTAGTTATTTGAGTTTTTTTGTATTGTATATAATTAGATTTTGCGACTTTATTATTATTCTTGCTAAGTTTTATAATGTGTATTTTATTTTATTTTTCTAGTTTCATTGAGTTTGTTAGATTGATAATACTTGATTTTGTTTTTATTTCGTTTGACAAAGAGTATAATTCCGCAAATAGCATAGCGTATATTATAATAATATATGCGCTACTATAACATTGTGCTATATTTTACAATACACATTATACTATAAATATACCCGATCAGAGTTGAACGAAAGAAAGGTCCACGTATTCAAACAATGTTACGTATCGCAGTACTTGAAATAAGCGAATTAAAAAACGGATAAGTTTTATTTTTCTGTTTTCATCAAATATCTTTCTAAACGGGCAATAAAATATTATATACAAACAGAAAATACAATAGAAAAAATCATTTCGTTGGTGCTCGCTCAACTCAAATATGTTTTTTAATATAGATATAATACCTATTTGTATTTTAAAATAATATATATTAAACACATTGATGATTAATTTAGGCTTTTAACTTTATCTTATTCACTCTAAATTAACTTTTAGCACGTGACTCGATATATAATACTAATCAAGCATGTTCAACGTTCACCGTAATTTTTTTCTTTAAGTATCATGTTATTTTAATTTTTAATTTCTTATACTTAAAAACCATACATTATAATTTTTAGATTATTTATATTATTTAAAAATCATACTGTGATAACTGACAATACATGTCAACACTTTGACGATACATGCTTACTTTTAAAGAGTACGAATGAACGATAATAACCTATGGACATTGATAAGTAGTAATAGGTTTAAAAAATATGAGGCTTTAACGATATTAAAATATTATAACACTATTATAATAATTAATATTTATATGTATATTGACATACTATATTTTTTTTAAATGGAGAGTATAGTAAGTATAAGTTAAATATAACATTTATTTTATCATTTATATGAAATTATTATTGATAATTATTATTTTTAGTAGATTAATTTTAATAATTTAAAAACTTTTTGTTCAAACTTTAAAAGAGATAAATCAAATTTAAAAAAAAAATCATTTTCTTAATAATTTGTAGTAAAAAATGGTGGTTCTAATTTGATGCAAAACAGTTTGTACTGTTACAAGACAAGAGAAAATACTTGAATACATAAATCAAAATAATTTAAAATGTGAAATTTCAGTATCTACCTATAATTAAAAATTTTTAGATTTAAATATATGAATTATTTAAGAGTAAAAGAGTGGTGAGTATGATTAGTGGATCACTTAGTAAATTATATACATATACCTATATATATATATATTATAATATAGCTGAGAGTCTAAAACAGGATATGATCGACCAGACGTAATTTTATATTAATCTTAAGTTCATACATCTAAACTTTAATATATTTCTATGTACTTACTTGGGCCAATACCATCATAGAAAAAATCCCGGATGAATAGCGTGTTTTCATCTACTGCGTACACAGTTCCACGGACACCATGAGCAAAACCCTTAAAGGATCCAATGTATCTTCCGTAATTATCATCCGACACTCCTGCATCGCCTGAAAAACCATTTATGTATTATACTCATAAATTATGGCATAAAAAATGAAAACAATTTATGGGGGAAAATTTAATTCAAATAAAGTTAAACGTATTTATTTATAATGAAAAATTGTTTGTAAATTGAATACATTTTGTCAACTTTGCTATAGATAATATTATATGTAAATAAAATCGAAATTGACTGTTAATGAAACCTATTTAGACGAAAGTCTATAGTTGCATATAATTACCTATTCTTAATTAATTTTCAGTTTCTGAATTGTACATTCACATTTTAAAATTATTTTATTAGAATTGTACAGTTTATTTTTTTACCCAATTCACAAATGTATTTAAAAACTGTTATTTATTATAAGCATAAAAATATCATAAATAATTGTTAATAATTTATTATTACTCTAACTAAACTAGCTGTAGCAGAAATGTGTACTCATGATAGGTATATTGGGTACTAGCGTATCACTATAATAAACTTATATATAGTTGAGTACAGTGGCGTTTTCTCTGGGTGTGCAAGTTGTGTGTTAACGCCCTAAACATTGATGTCATACATGTGTGTAATATTGTAATTTGTAATTCATATTAGTATATTACATGGTTATATAATTTTATTTACAAAATCTTAAAATAATTGTCATGTAAAAATAATAATATCAAATAATAAACTATTGTTACTATTGTCTATTTTAAGCTCTAAACTCGACCATTCGCCCGCGCCGTCTGCAGCTACGACGCGCAACGGCGTCCAATAAGATTACGCCGATTACGGAATAATATTGTATTATGTTGTGTTTGTGTAGGCCGTAGGGTGTAGCCGTGTAGGACGTTAATGTTTCGAACAACGACTTGTGGTATCTAATATCTCATATTCGTAATTTGTCGTGATATTTTCGGATAACTTCGGTGCCATGTTAATACTAGACCAAGTCGTTGAAAATGAAATTAACGACTAGCCACTACTCACTAGTCTAGCGCTAGCCTATACACTGTGTTTGGACCGTTAGTGGGGATCGTCGCGGCTGCACGTTATCCTGTTTACGTCGTACACTCGAACTGCAAGACTGCAACGCCGATCGTCGAAAACATAATATATTCATTATTATATTAATTTGTACATTTTCAGTTTTATATTATATTTAATTTTATAGATGTTGGATTTGGATGTATTTTTAAAAATTTAAAAGTATTTAAAATAAATAATTTTAATAATATGTTGATTGTTAATAGTTGATACGAATTTATTTTCCGTAAGGGGAGTTTTCCTAATTGTTTTCCTCACACATTAACGCCTAACGCCGAAAGTCAGGAAACGCCACTGGTTGAGTATATCTAAAGGGGAAGAAGCTAATACAATATTACCCACAAATGTATAATATTATGTACCTATTTATGAAAATTTATTTTATTAAACATTACTACATACTCGTACATAAACCTCATATGTTTATATGATTTAATAATATTTAGGTGGAAAATGTGTATTACACTCATAACATAATATTTTTCTTATGTCTGCTGGACTATACTAACTAGTAACTATGCTTACAAAATATACACGATTATGTTACACATAAAATATCTGAAGAAGTATATTAAATCAAAATTTTATTTACCAATAAATAACAATACAATATAATGTTGTTAAAGTATTGCTTATTAATAATATTATAATATTATTACCCGTGTACCTATTTGATTTTGCGTAATAAATATAACAGAAGTCACTTTACACGATTGTATATAATAATATTTAATAACTATAACAATCATTTTTTTATTATATAGATTTCATTGTATTATATAAAATAAAAACCTCTGTATAAAAACTATATTTTTTGTGAATAGAAATACTTTATCTGTATAATATTGTCCATACAATTTTCCATATTATACCATATATTTATCATTTATACTGAGTAATTGCATTAACTATACTTATAAGTTATATTTAACCATAGTATGTCTATATTGCGTATTATAATTATCGTTAATAAAATAGTATAAAATAAACTTTACGTTTAATATTAATTGATGTGTTATTCTGATACATGTGCGATATACTTAATAGTTAATTGTAATGATAGTAAGTCTTAATTATTATGCGAACACAACCGTGTAATACAATTGATCGTATCTGTTATCATAAAATATGTGGTAATAATATATAAAAAAGAATTGAAATATTTTACAAAAATTACGGCGTTTAATGTAATTTATTCCACAATCACGCATGTGTATCGGCCGATATAGTTCTTTTTTCGGTTACGCACGAACGACGACCGTCGTCATGTAAGTGCGTAATAATCGTAATATCATATCATATGATGTTCCATGACAATTATTGACCATAGTGGACAGTCTAAATGTAAAAAGTACGGTAGGGTTGAATAGGGGAATGTAAAAACAAAATTTTGTCGTCGGGATAAATAAACGACAAGAAAATAAATAAGAAAAAAACTGTAACTTAACTTTTTGTAAATTTTGTTAATATTTGATGTTTTAAATATTTATATTTATATAATAATAATAACGATGATAAATGAAAGTTATTAGTTATCATTTTGATAATGGTGACATTTTAGAAATATTTGTTGGGTTTTATTTATCCAGTAAGACCTCTGTGTCTCAAAGGACAGATAACAGATATTACTCGAGAGTCGAGGGAAATATTATATTTCAATTGAGGAAAACTTCATAAACGTAATTCGATGTCTGTAAGCCAGAATAAACGTTTACAACCGAATCAAAGTCACTACAGTTTTGTATATTAATATACCTTCAGTGAACTTAATATAATATACCTACAAATAAAACGATCTGACGTTTCGTTGTCATCGAAAGTGAGCCGATTTATTTATTTATTTGACGAATACAATGCAATATACTATATTATATTATTAAACGCCAACAAATGCTCTCTCAGAATAGACATTTGACAGAGAACACTCGAAAAAACATAACCAACCACGTTGTAGTAGACCAACAGATGTTTAAGTTTACGCACACTTCGACGGAATAGTAAATACACACATAACATACACACATACACATACGCGCGCACGCTCGTGTACATGCATATAATATATTATGTATACTATCGTTGCTTTCAATTTGCTAATGAGTTGAATATTATTTCGACGGAGAGATATTAATATATACGTGTATACACATACCACCGGAGTAAAGGGTTGTTGCCGACGACGAAATAGGGGAGGGTCGATCGCTGCTAGGCGCGTGCGTACGCGTGGAGTCGTCCGGCGTCGCGCTGGCCCAGCAGCTGCAAGTTCCGCGTCGCGTCTTCATTACTCAACGCCAGTCGCTCGGCTGCAGTCACACTGTTTGCCGTTGTATATAATGCATTATTATAATATGTCTATATATACAGGTAAAACTTCACCCTTCTCTCTCTCTCTCTCTCTCTCTCTCTCTCTTTCTCTCTTTCTCTCTCTACCACTGTAACAGAGCACCGGTGTAAATCACCTGCGAACAAGCCTCTCGAGAGTCTCATCGATTACGGCGACGACAGCAGTGACACTCCCTATACCTACTGTTATTATTATTATTGTTACTATACTATAAGCTCCTTCAATCTCCTCCGACAATCGTCTCGTCGTTGTCATTATTGTCGTCGTCATTTGCAAATATATACTGTGCTGAAAGTAAATCTATTCCTTTTCCTAGGCCGAACGCTCTTTTGCGGCCCTCATCCGACCCTGTCATCGGTATAAAGCCTCCGACGACCCGTCAACTGATTGTCGCACTCGCGTCATTAACTATCTTATAACTCTCTCGATTTCTCAGTAGATTTTAATGTGAAGTGCCCAAGACATTTTAATAGATTTTAGCAAAGAGGCGTTAATATTTAACTTACCCCAAAAAAATTAGTTATATAATTTATTAAACATTATTATTAAATATCAAATTTATCGAATATTCACATTTGAAATTTAAATCTATTATTAGATTATTTAAAAAAATATAGAATTATGTGTAGGGAATAGAGACTTATAGGAACTCACTGATTGGTTACATCCACGTATTTTATTCTGCTTATTAAATGCCTTGCTAAATAGATAGGTAATAAAATAGTTTCGTGAATTAACGATTAAAACATCAAAAGTTGATGATCTTATTTCTTTTGCACATTTTTAAAATATAAATACAATTTTTAATATTAATCTAATTTAAAACATTGTAAATTAAAAATGTAGACATTGATTTATTTTAATTGAGTAACCGCTATATCATGAATTAATGAATATAGTTATTAATTATTTTTCACTCTATAATTTGTATCCTATATTTATTTTATAATACTTTACATTTTAACTATTTTAAATATATTGTAGTAACACCAAATACTATTTATAGTAATTTATTCAATGAGCTTATACACACCTTGAATACCAGCACTCAAATATATACCGATGCTTCTAAAACCGAAATGAGTATAGGATTTGCAGTAGTCCATCTCAATTTAACTAAACAATTCAAACTTAATAATTTTAGCAGTATTTATACAGCCGAATAACTAGCACTCGTCAAAGGAGCCCAATTAGCCCTAGAGATCAATAAAACAAAAATAGATATATGTTCTGGCTCACTCAGTGCCTTAGCTAATCTGCAATCCAAAACATTAACTGAACCATTGACTTTATCAATTAGTAACCTTCTTTCCAAATCAAACAAAGATATTAGATTTATGTGGATCCCTGGTCATTGTAACACAAAGGAAAATGAGAAGGCTGATGAAGCTGTTCGATATGCAATCGAATGTTTAGACAGTGAAATAATTCCTTTTACCTCACTTGTTGATATAAAAAGAAATATAAACAAATACTGTATCGATTTGTGGAACTCACATTGGCACACGATCATGGGAAAAAAATTAAGAGAAATCAAGCATTCTGTTGATTTCTAGCCAAAATACGTTGATTTAAACAGAAAAAATGAAGTTATTTTCAATCGACTCAGAATTGGTCAAATGAAACTTACA